GCCACTGCACTCCAGCCTGAGCAACAGAGAAAAAAAAAAAAGATTGCTCCACAGTCTTGCATGGTAGGTACCAGTATTCCAACTTTCAGGTGAGAAACAGGCTGGAAGTTGAGCTAACTTACCCAAGGTCTCAAAGCTGGTACTAGCAGAACAGAGATTGACAATCACATCTTACTAGCTTTAAAATGCCTAAACTCTTTTTTCCCTTCCTGGTATCATCATGGTGAGAATCAAATTAGGCAAACATAGAAATGTATGCTGGAAATGGGGGTATTGCCCCTCCCTAGGGTTTCAGGATCACCCACTTTTCCCATGCCGTCCTGCAAAGGACAGAGATCATAATTGTAAAGCTTTGTGAAAAAATAAACAAGAGACTGGTAATATCCTGTTACAATTTTCTTTTTGAAAATGTCCCAGCCAGGCACAGTGGTTCACGCCTGTAATCCCAGCATTTTGGGAGGCTGAGGCAGGAGGATCATTTGAGGCCAGGAGTTTAAGACCAGCCTAGGCAACATAACGAGACTCCATCTCCACCTTTTTTTTTTTTTTTTTTTGGCTCAAATCTTCTGTTGTAGGGAAATTCTGATCTATGAGAGGCTGCTTGAAATAAATGGGCTACTGGCCAAGGCTTGGAAATGTTTGTGGTATGAGAAAGTCAGTTGTTATTTGGCAGCTACAGATACATTATTATTGCTATTTAGAAACAATTAGTAAATTACTGAAAAGTCAGTAAAAGTAAAATTATTTCTTTGGAAAGACCCTATTTACAGAAAATTGTGCCTCAGGTATGCATTTTGTTTACCATTAGATCTATTTCAGTTCCAAAGGAATATATGGAGAGAGAGGGAGTCTTTGTAGCTTCTAAAAATATTCATGAAGGAGTGGCTTACTCTCTTTGCCCTTAGTTTAACAGAAGCAAGAGGTAGTTTGGAGAAGCAGGAAGTCAGAGGTGGGTTCATTGTATCATTATTTCTAGTCCTAGCTCTTCACTGTTCCTTGGCAAGTTTCTTAACCTCTCTGGGTTCCCCTCTTCTTACCTTTCTTCTATTCTTCCCCAAGTGTGGGAGTCACACTTCAACACTGTACATCCAGGAGTGTTGTGTTGTTAAAAAGTATTGTTAAATACTTTTTAAACGTGTTGAATACTTGTTAAATACTTTTTAAACGTGTATTTATTTATTTGAGTTAGTACTACATACACATGGTTCAACATGTAAAAGATATAAAGGGAAATTCAGTGCCATCTCCCTCCCACCTGCTCCTCTCTGTGTGTCCCTGTTCCAGTTCTCAGTTTTCTTTTTCAAACTCAGAAATCCCAAGAGTCTGTGAAGGGCAAATGAAAAGCAAGATGACTAGACTAAATTGAATGAAAGGGATTTATTCTAAGGTGATACTGCTCACTGCTCAAGGTGCTTATCTGCCCCCTTCAGGGACTCCCTCAAGTTTTCTGAGACTTCAAATAGCAACACTTAACTAAACTATAAAATAGTCACCACACCTTTTCAAGAAATTCTGACTTTGAACTTGCTAATGTACAAAGGAAATAGTCCAACCATTTCTCTAGAACTTGGTTGATAAGAAATTTTATTTTGTCCCATTTATAATTTTATTCTAAAATTTTGTTGTCTTTTTTTCTGCTATCGTGTAGGAGAGAAGGGAATACAGGAAAGATTTGTTTTTGCACTACTGTGAGATTTTTATACCTTAGGCCAAGACAAAGCACACAATAAATAAAGTATTAACAAAATGTCCTTAATTTTCCTTTCTGACCAAGATTGCTTGCCGCTGCAATTATATATAAAGAAGGGATGTGTTGAGCAAATGAAGTAGGACAGCTAGGCAGACAAGATGTGCCCAGCGTCTGGCATACAATAGGGGCACAGGCCATTGCTTAATAAAACGTGTAATTTATTAAAACATGCTCGAAGCACTGCTATACTAACCAAATATTCCCTGCAAAATTTTAAATTTACAATGCAAAATAAGAATCATTTCAAAACTATTTCTAGAAAAAGAGCTTTAAGGGCTTCCTCCCCATAACAATTTAAGATTAACCTAAAACATGGTAGTTATTTTGCAAGAACTGGGGAGCACCAATCCCTTCTCCTTGTGTGTGTCTGACATTGGAGGCTTATTGTGCACGAAGTTGTGATCAAAATCCAACTCGATTCATTTTGAAAAGTAACATGACTACAACATCCATCCACTCCAATGAGCAAAGGGTGTTGGCTTTGAGTATACACAGCAGGTCACACACTATAGGTCATGGCATACAGTCTAGCGCTGGAGGTTGCTGCATTTGTTCATGTATCTATGAGCTAGGTTTTAAGTTTTTTCTCCCTGTTCTTTAATAGAATTAATTAATTAACCCCACTCATTTACTTACTCAGTCCACAGCCTTTTAAGAGCCTGCCTAGGACATAAAGATGAAGATCCAGTGCCTACCCTCATGAAACATACAATCCAAGCAAAGAAGGCTTACTTTGCAATAGTCATCAAGTTGTGCTTTTATGGCGCTTTACTGCTCCCACCAGCACCCAGTGCCAGGGTATGACCTCACGCGGTGGCAGAGTCCGCGTGCGAGGTCCCGCTCTCCCTGGCTTGCCCCGGCAGGGCGGAGTCAGCCCAGCAGCCGCCAGCGCTGCCCCCGCGCGGCCTTTAATTTCGCAGCTCCGACCACCGGAAATTAGTCGAAGGCTGAGCGGACCCGGTCGAGAGCCGGCGAGCTCCGCGCGGGGAGGGTGCGCCCACCGGTCCCGTCGGGCGCCCGCGGGACGCGCCGCCAGGGCCCTCTGCGCCGGGGGCTCGGCGCTCGCCCACCTCTTCCAAATTTAACCATTACCTAAATCCGAAGGGAAATGAGCAAACCTCTCGGATTGGGTGTCAAGGTATTTTCAGCCTCGTTGGGCGTATTTATCCCCAAGTGTTTCCACAACAAGCTATTTCGGGGCCGCGGGGCAGGTTTCGCTCTGCGGACGCCGTGGCCACTTGCCGGGCTCCAGGCCGGCGGCACCGCGGGCCAGTGATTCACGGTCCCGACCCGGGGGTGGTGCAGCCCTAGGAGGCGGCGGGGTAGGGCGGGGGGAGCGGGTGACCGAGGCCTGAAGGGCGGGAAGGGTCCTCGGAGCGGGGCGCCTCCACCCCTCTCTCGCCAGTCAATCTGTGTCCTGAATCTGTGGCTTCTCTCGCTGCGGAAGTCTCCCTGGAGCCAAGAATAGTTGATTTTCTTTCGAGTCATTTCTAGTGCCTGAGTGTACGAACCTCCAATTTCCCCCATCCCCTGTCGAGCCACAGGGAGAGAACTGGGAGGACGACTAAGGGGCGCGCGGGACGGGCTGGAAAGGCCAGGTCCCCCACCCGCCTGGCCACTTGCGCAAAGGAGCGCGCTCGGTCGCCCGACGGGGGTTGGGAGCAGGTCTGGGAGGGCTATGCGAGCGATTCAGTAACGCTCAGGAAGTGAAGCTTGTGGTTTTGGGGGCTGAGCTCGGAAGGAGAATTTTTTTTTTTTAAAGTCAGAGAGACAGAGCAGTCTCTCCCGAAAGCAAGATTCCGTTTGAAAACTCTCTTAGCGCGGTGCCCGCGCCCTGACCCCGCAGGTAGGTCCGCCGAGCCTGTTCTGCGCCTCCTGCCCTGGTGGGGGCGGCCGCGGGGACTCGCGGAGCGCTGGCGCTGCGGGGGCGACCAGAGGACGCGGGCGGGTTCCCACCTGCTGCGGACCGCCGTGCGGGAGCCCGGAGAGCTCCGGCAGCTGGGTTAGGACGCGACCCGCGCAGCGAGGCTGGAAATCTGGAGCTGGGGGCGCGCAGCAGGCGGTCTGGTGGTTCGGCAGGGGAGCCAAATCCACCCGGGAAGGAAACATCTGGTGGGGAGGCGGCGGCAGCTGCGCTCGGGAGGCCGCCCCCTTAGCGCCCTCGGCTCCCGCCTTCCCGGGCCCGGACGGTGAGGAGAGGCCTGAGCGTGCGGAGAGGCCGCCCCACCTCCCGCGCCAGCTGCAGCGCGGGGTTGCCTTCCCACGCGCTCGGCCCAGGCCCCGGGGCCCCTATCTCCTCCAAACTCTGTCCCTCCCCATAGGAACCAGCAAAGCCGGCTGGGGTGCGAGAGAGGCGTGGGCTTACAGCCCGGGTGGGAAGGCAGCCTCCGCGTCCGCCTGGTCTCTCGTGGCGCCAGCCCAGACCCAGCTCCGGCGCTGACAGTTACCCCGACCCCATCTGTCCCGCTCCCAGCCAACGCGGGTCCAAGCCGCAGCGGGACCCTCGGGGCAACGCCACTCCGTTTTTCTTTTCTTCCGAGTTTCGCGGCTGTTTAAAGAATTGGGTTTGGGATTTGTGGCGTCTAATTGTACGGATGAGAAGTGCAGGAAGCGGCAAAGCTCTAGCCCTGGAGTCAACTCGGAGGGAGGCGGATGGCACCCTCACCCCTAGGAGTATTCTGGCGCTTAGGTAGCGGGAAACGTCGCTGGTGCCCCGCGATACGTCCCAGGCGTCTTTTCTCCCAGGTCTACTCCCATTCCTCCGGAGAAGGGGACACAATGGGGCTGGGGATCTGGGGCAGGGGGCCTGCACCCTACAGGGACCAAGGCCCCTACGTAGGACTCATTTTGAGCTGAGAGCGCCAACGGACAGACGTAGACTGTGTGGCCGGCATCTTGCCTAGGAAGCCGAGGGGCTCCTAGTCCGGCAGTGGAAACAGCGTGAAGCCGGAGGACTGCAGGTCTGGCCCCGGCCCAGAGTTCCCAGCACCCTCATTTCTGAACCAGCCAAGGCCACGGAGAACTGCTGTACTGCAGCTCACGTGTGAACCAGGTCCCTATCGCCTTCACCCCGGGAGGAAGGCAGATTCGTTTACCCCAGACCACCTCGACTGTGGAGTCCCGCCCCCGGAGCCGGCTGGAGCCTAGTGGCAGGCGCAGTCACGCCCTCCCGCCGGGCTCAGATTTCGACCTGGTATTAGGTGAACTGATTGGGGGTTAATGAGAGCGACGCCCCGGGCAGCTAGTCCCCTCCTAGGCCCGGGCCCGACCCCTGCTATCTGCCAATGCAGCCTGCGCGCTCTGGCGTCCTGTCTTATTTGTCTGCTAAATTATCGGTGCACTACCGACTCTGGACACCTAGCATTTCCCAGTCAACATTCACGAATCGGGCTCCACTTCTCTAGGACAAGATTTTTTGGTGAGCAGAAAGGAAAGTGCTTTTTCCCAGGACCTGATTCCCGAGGTTAGGTTTCCACCGTCCGGGATGGCTCGCCGCAGCATGGACCGGTGCCCGCCGCACCTGGGAGTCCGGGGCCAAAGTTTCTCCTACGTGGGGCACGAGTGAGGGGCGAGTGAGATAACCGGATGCGAGTTTCTCCCGGGGCGGGGGTTGGTTCTCTGTTACTCCCCTCACTTTCCTGTCCCTTTGCTCTCCCACCTCCTTTCTCTGGCCTCTGCTGTCCCCAGTCCCTCTGCTGCTGTCCCCCCCGCCGCCCCACAGTTTTATCTTGTGTTCCGTTCCCCCCGCCCCCCGTCCTTTCACTCCAGTTTGTAGCTGGCTCTTGGATGTCTTGGCTCCTTGCCCCTTCCGGGTCCTCGACCACTGGGCATCCCCGGCCCCTCAACCGATCCGCGTGTCACCGCCCTCCCTCGCCAGCCGTAAAGCACAGCCAGGCAGGCACTGAGTAGATGAGTTGGGGTAACCTACCCGATGGGAACTACGGCTTTCCAGAGAGTTTGATTGCCAGAGCGAACTTGGCTAGGAAAGGGGAGGAGCTGGGGGGCGTGGGCAGGGAGGAGGAAAGGGGCCTGAGCCAGGGCCCAGGGACAGGTTTTACCGCTGAGCTGTGTCAGTGGCGGCAACGACGGCGGGTTCGCGCCACCTGTCCAAGTGCCACCTGGTAAGCGCGGAGCAGCGGGGCCAAGCCCCTCCTCCCGTGGGCCCTCTGCGCTCCTCCCTGGCCCGCGCTCTCCCTCCGCCTGGGTGCCCAGTCCCCAGCACCGGAGAGTACTGACCCGCGTTTCCACCCGGTTTTCTTTCCCTCTCAGGTCTTCGCCGGGCTGGGGCTAAGCAAGCTCTCGGAGTGACCGTGGGTGACAGCGGCTCCAGGGACTCTTGGGGCGCAGTGGGGAAAGCGCCGGACCACCATGCCGCGCTCATTTCTCGTCAAAAGCAAGAAGGCTCACAGCTACCACCAGCCGCGCTCCCCAGGATCAGACTATTCCCTCCGTTTAGAGAATGTACCGGCGCCCAGCCGAGCAGGTGCGAGGCGCGCGCGGGCCAGGCCGGGCTGCTCCTGCAGACACCGACTGCACCTCGACACACCATTAGTCGAGAGCTGGGAGGGGCTGCCCCAACGTCCCCTTTGCTGCCGTTTTTGTTTCCTACTGTGCTGGTTCCTCCGGGTTTGTCTCCTAGGTGCCACGGCCTCTCTGCGTCTGCCCTCGGATCCGAGAGGGTTCCCGGCCGGGGTCTGGGTGGAGAGGGGAAGATGCTCGGGTGCCCTGGTAGGGGGTTTGGGGGAGCCTTCAGAACCCTCAGATTCAACCGGTCGCAGCCTGAGCCCCTCACCTGCCTCCTCTCTGCAGACAGCACTTCAAATGCAGGCGGGGCGAAGGCGGAGTCCCGGGACCGTTTGTCCCCCGAATCGCAGCTGACCGAAGCCCCAGACAGAGCCTCCGCATCCCCAGACAGCTGCGAGGGCAGCGTCTGCGAACGGAGCTCGGAGTTTGAGGACTTCTGGAGACCCCCGTCACCCTCCGCGTCTCCAGGTAGGAACCCACTGGGAACCTCTGGGGCAGGAGCTGCAGGGACCCGGCAGTGCTGGGGAAATCGGGGCGACCTTGGGCGTAGATATGCTAACCGGGAGTTGGAGAGTCTTTCCGGGAGGAGGGAGCTGATTCGTAGGGGAAGGAGGCATCTGTCTTCTCTGGGACCTGGACAACTTGCCCGCTGGGGCTGCTGCCTCCATCCCAGGCGGAGGGAGCCTAGCTGCTTGTCGCTTAGATTCGTTTGCGCGGAGCTGGCCGGTGAGGGAAAACAAACCAGTTGTTTCTACTGGCAGCAACGCCGACCTTTCATTTTCTGACCAGACTTGATTGTTTTATAAAGTGCTAGGATCCTGCAATCTAGACCCCAAACCTCAAACAAACGGAGACCAGGGCAGAACGGGCCGGGCAGAGGAGTTAGGCGCTGGGCGGCAGGGAGGGGGCAGGATGAAAATCTCAGCCCGCGGCTTGGTCTTCACAGGCGCAGATTGGGGGCCTGTTTCATTTTTCGTTTTGCCAGACTAACCCAGCCTCAGGGAACTGCTCTCTGGGTTTCATTTCCAGCGAGCAATCCAGCTTCAGGCAAACTGCACGTTGGGTGGGGGCGTCTTGGGTCCCGGCCTGGGGAAGGAATGATCAGACCAGCCGGATTCTGTCAAGGGCCAGTTATATCCAGAACATGTTTGCTAGTGTTAAAAGATACCACCACCCGTCCCACAATCAGTGAGTTGACTTGGCGAAAACCATAGCTCCAGCAAATGTGTCTGGGAGCCGGCGGCGGGAGGATTCTTCCTGCCAGGGCGTCAAGTGGCCGGGCAAGGATTGGGCGCGCCCCGAACCATCCGAACGAAACTCCGGGTACAGCCTCTCACTGAAGTGGCCAGCTTGAACTGGAGAGTGTGTGTGTGTGTGTGTGTGTGTGTGTGTGTGTGTGCGCGCGCGTGGGCCCTCTGCGCTCCTCCCTGGCCCGCGCTCTCCCTCCGCGGGAGAGTGCGCGCGCGCGCGCACACACACACACACACACATTTGTAAACGCTGTATGCACTCACATGCATTGGGGTCACTAGTTTTAGCAAAATTCACGTGGGTGGGGGCGTAGCAGGCCGCTAATTCAGAGAGCCGTCTCCTTGCAGGTGGTGGCTAAACCTTACGAGTTACACAGTTATTCTCTGAGAAATTCGGGTTCCCCACCTCCATCAAACTATAACAGGAATGGGGAGTATTTGGCTGGCAATTTAAGCCCAAAAGCCCCTTTCCTGCTGCACCTTTGCTACGTACACTGGGCACTTAACTTCGTGAAATCTTAATACCTTCGGGTTTATTCAGATGCCAGCCTTTCGAGTAGTTCGGGGACGCATTTATGGACCCTCTACCTCCTTCCTTGTGGATTCTGGGAAGAAAAAGAATTAAGTGGGAACATGTAGGGGTTAGGAGAGTGCTTGCGCTGGTAGTTGGACCATTCTGCCCCTGAGTGCTGTGCGGGGCCGAACGGCCTTCTCCTCCCTAACAGCTCAACTCCGGGCATTTATAGACGCGCCCTTCCCTATAGGATCTCCAGGTGCGCGGGTCCAGCCAGAAAAGATCCTCGGAACGTCGAGCGCTTCCGCTGCCCTCGCATAGAATTTTCCTCTCCCGAGGTCTTTTCAATGATCCGTTTGCTGCTCTGCCTTCTATAGTGGCCTGCGAGGCCCCAGGGCCCGGGCTGCGTTTTACCCTGGGGCGCGCCTGGCACACGCAGTGTTCTACAAGCGCTGGGTGCCCCGCCGTCCGCGAACACGCCACGCCCGCAGCCGCAGCCCGGCGGCCTCCGCTCTGCGGTCTGAAGCCTGACCGGACGCTCCCTTGTGCCTCCACAGCCTCGGAGAAGTCGATGTGCCCATCGCTGGACGAAGCCCAGCCCTTCCCCCTGCCTTTCAAACCGTACTCATGGAGCGGCCTGGCGGGTTCTGACCTGCGGCACCTGGTGCAGAGCTACCGACCGTGTGGGGCCCTGGAGCGCGGTGCTGGCCTGGGCCTCTTCTGTGAACCCGCCCCGGAGCCGGGCCACCCGGCCGCGCTGTACGGCCCAAAGCGGGCTGCCGGCGGCGCAGGGGCCGGGGCGCCAGGGAGCTGCAGCGCAGGGGCCGGTGCCACCGCTGGCCCTGGCCTAGGGCTCTACGGCGACTTCGGGTCCGCGGCAGCCGGGCTGTATGAGAGGCCCACGGCAGCGGCGGGTTTGCTGTACCCCGAGCGTGGTCACGGGCTCCACGCAGACAAGAGCGCTGGCGTCAAGGTGGAGTCGGAGCTGCTGTGCACCCGCCTGCTGCTGGGCGGCGGCTCCTACAAGTGCATCAAGTGCAGCAAGGTGAGGCTCACGAGCTCACCACCTCGCCTGCCCTGCGCCTGCTTCCCCTACCTGGGCCTCACCTGCGCCCCTCGGCCCCTCTCAGTGGCCTTCTCTCCGGCCCCACCCGCCTTAGGTGTTCTCCACGCCGCACGGGCTCGAGGTGCATGTGCGCAGGTCCCACAGTGGTACGAGACCCTTTGCCTGCGAGATGTGCGGCAAGACCTTCGGGCACGCGGTGAGCCTGGAGCAGCACAAAGCCGTGCACTCGCAGGTAAGCGCGGGGCACACCGCCCGCCGTGCGCGGCCCTGCTCAGAGATCTTCTACATCTCCTCGGTGCAGCACCAGCCACCCTCTGCCTGGAAGTTCTCTTCCGAAGTTCCCCCAGTTTCCTCCCCCAACCTCTCCGCTGCGTCCCCTTGCCCTGGTGCATGTGTGTAGGGAAAGGAGGATCGTGGCCGGCTCAGGCCTTGAGGCAGCCCTAGATTTTGGTGTCACACCGCGGTGAGCCTCGAGAGTGTGATCCTCCTTGTTACTTTGGGCTTGAGGTAGGTTTATATGCACTGATTCGTGCTGCTGATATATCAGACTTATTAGCTCTATTTCTTTGTGCCTGTTCTTTTCACCAAATGGTTGTCACTTAGTTTGCATTGACCCCTCTGGACTGAAAAGGCGGGAATCTCAGCTCATTTAGAGCATCTAGTAGCATATTTACCCCGCTATTCTTTCCTCCCTTCCTCCCTTCCTCCCTCCCTCCCTGCCTGCCTGCCTTCCTTCCTCCTTCCTTCCTTCCTTCCTTCCTTCCTTCCTTCCTTCCTTCCTTCTTTCTTTTCTCTTTTCTTTTCTTTATGTTCTTTCTTTCAGAGTCTAGCTCTGTTGCCCAGGCTGGAGTGCAGTTGCACAATCTCAGCTCACTGCAAACTCCCCCTGCCAAGTTAAAGTGATTCTCGTGCCTCAGCCTCCTAGGTAGCTGGGATTACAGGCGCATGCCACTATGGCACAGCTAATTTTTGTATTTTTAGTAGAGACGGGATTTCACCATGTTATCCAGGCCAGTCACGAACTCCAGGCCTCAAGTGATCCACCCACCTGGGCCTCCCAAAGTGCTGGGATTACAGGCGTGAGCCACCATGCCCCACCCCTGCTATGTATTCATTCATTCATTAATAAATATTTGTTGCCTAACTTCTAGGTGCCAAGTACTTAAGAATCTTACAGCACATCAGGTCCTTGACAGCATGCCCACATGGAGATTATAGTTTAGCTGAGAGATGGAGAGTAGATGAGCAAGTAAATATACCAACAGATATCTCAGGAGAATGCCTACTTGTAGCTAAAAAGAGTATCAGTCCATGGCGGGGCACGGTGGCTCAAGCCTGTAATCCCAGCACTCTGGGAGGCTAAGGCGGGTGGATCACAAGGTCAGGAATTCCAGACCAGCCTGGCCAAGATGGTGAAACCCCGTCTCTACTAAAAATATGAAAGTTAGCTGGGCGCGGTAGCATGTGCCTGTATTCCCAGCTACTTGGGAGGCTGAGGCAGGAGAATCGCTTGAACCTGGGAGGCAGAGGCTGCAGAGAGCTGAGATCATGCCACTGCACTCTAGCCTGGGTGACAAAGCAAGACTCCATCTAAAAAAAAAAAAAAGAGTATCAACCCATCTCCCCCAGCACCCACACTGGCTGGGGGGAGGTGGCATCTCAAGTGACTGAGGTCTAAGCCTCCTGTTGAGGAGGGTGGAGAAGTGTGTGCTAATGGGTGTCAAAAAAAGCAGGGTGTGGATATGTTTTTGCAATGGGGTGTGGAAGGTTGTGGGTGAAGAACGTTTTGGTAGAAAAAGTGTTGAAGGGCCGGGCATGGTGGCTCACGCCTGTAATCCCAATACTTTGGGAGGCTGAGGCGGGCGAATCACTTGAGGCCAGGAGTTTGATACCAGCCTGACCAACCTGGTGAAACCCTGTCTCTACTAAAAATACAAAAATTAGTCAGGTGTGGTAGCATTTGCCTATAGTCCCTGCTACTCAGGGGGGCTGAGACATGAGAATTGTTTTAACCTGGGAGGTGGAGGGTACAGTGAGCTGAGATTGTACCACTGCACTCAAGCCTGGGCGACAGAGGAGACTCTGTCTCAAAAAAATAAAGAAAAAGTGTTCAAGGGATTTTAGGGTCAGCTCAAGGGTGAGGAGAGCAGCAGTCTAGTTGACCGCAGTAGGAGTGCCACATCTCTCTCTCTCTGCAGGAACGGAGCTTTGACTGTAAGATCTGTGGGAAGAGCTTCAAGAGGTCATCCACACTGTCCACACACCTGCTCATCCACTCAGACACTCGGCCCTACCCCTGTCAGTACTGTGGCAAGAGGTTCCACCAGAAGTCAGACATGAAGAAACACACCTTCATCCACACTGGTAAGCTGAAGACCCTTGGCTTGTAGGAAACACCCTGAGGTCAACATTACTCATCTTCTCTGATTTCTGGCCCCAGTGAGTGGTGGATGAGGCCTTTCTGATGGAGTTTTTCCCTGCTCTGTGTTAAAGAAAACAAAGGGGTGGGTTCTTTGGTTCATTTATAGTCATAATTCTCCCCAGAGCTGCCTTGATTTGGGGTTGTGTCTGAAAGGCCACTCAGCAGGTCAGCTCACAGTTACTCTATCCTTGGAAAGAACATTTTCCTTTAGGTTAGCAGCTGCTTCCACTGCTGCCTGCTCTGGGTGAAATATGAAGCTCCAGGGTCCTCTTAGAGAGTTGCTCTAAAGCTTACCTAGAGATTGAGGACTTTCTCTAACCACCGGGCCTTTTGTGGGAGGGACTCGTGTGGCCTCTCTGGCTGCATTTTCAGGAGTCTGAGAGCTTATTCTGATTGAAGAGGAACAAATAATGGCAAATATGATTAAACTCTCTGATAAGCATTTTTAAAATGCATTATTTCATTTTATGCTCACAACAACTCTGAGAGGTAGAGACGACTACTTCTCCCCATTTGAGAGATGAAAAAAGAGGCTAGGTAATCTGTCCAGGGTCATACTGCTAGCAAATGACAGGGCCAGAGCTCAAATTCAGGTCTGACCTCTCAAATGTCCACTCTTGACCACTGTTTATTGTATTCTATGTTCAGAGTCATAAGGTTGGTAGACACAGAAAGCTTCTGTTCACTTATTGCCCTTTTCAAAATATCTACAAGTTCATGCCATAATAATAATTCCTTACCTATTATAATGCTTTACAATTTACAAAGTACTTTCAAATCTATCATTTCATTTGATTCTTATTGCCACTCAATAAAGTAGATGGAGCTGCTCTTACCATCCTGAAACTCAGAGAGAGTGAATGATTTATCAAAAGTCAGACTGAATGAATATTGGAGCCATGTAATGCTCTGGTTTTTAATCCTCAACTCTTTGCCTAACACTTTATGTGCGGGTGGGAGTTTTAATGCCAAGAACACTCTAATAGTCAAAAGACATTTACATGAGACCCAGAATTTCTGAAAATTTTATTGTAGAATATGAATACTGATTTAGAACAAATCACAGTGTATTCTAAACGCCCACCCTTGATGTTTATAAATATACTTCGCTAATGTATATATTTCCATTGAAAACCCAGAAAAGTATTCTACTTTAATCATTCCCTCTTACCTGAAATTTCCATGTAATTCACTCCTTATGAGTAAGGTATTCAGGACACTTATCAAAATGCAACTAGGATCTTGACTGAATAAAACATTAAGCCCTTATCAAACATTTACGTTATACCTAGAATTTGTTTCTCAGATTTGTTTGACCCTAAAGGGATAGAATACATTTTGATGGGTGGTTTCTTATCGAGGAAATCTGAAGCATGAAAACAGAAAAGAGTGTAGCAAAGAGGACAGAGGGTTCCTCAAAAACAAACTTCATCTATTTTATATTTTTTCCAAGGCTGAGCCCTGACTGTAATGCCATGCTGGGCTATTTGGAAATTCATGCCATTTACCTAACAACACATGAGGTAGGGAACAAGACAAAACCTTTTTGTGTTCTCTTATTTATTAATTTGTGGTGAAGAATTGCTGGTATATAAAGAATCATGTTATTAACCTCATAAAATTAAGGAAAAATCGAGACAGAAAAGTATCAGCTACCTTAATACTTTGTGGCCCAATGTGGATTTTTAAGATAAGATATTGAAAAACGTATCCTGCACATGTACCCTGGAACTTAAAAAACAAAGAAAGAAAAAGAAGAAAGAAAGAAAAAAAGTCCATGTTAAGATGTTTTTCCAGATATACTTTGCTGTCCTTTAAGAACAAGAAAGAAGACAGGCTCACTGATCCATACAAACTAACACCCACTTGGAAATTCAGATTTGAAAACTTCCTCTGAATTAGAACGGAGTCACACGGTTTTAGGACAGCTTCCTCCCCCTTCCTGTTGAACATCTGCTCTGGGTGTTCATGGCTTATAAAGTCAGGGGAGTCCTCCCGGGGTAGATTCAGCTGGGGAGGGCATGTGGCCTTTGCTCTGTTTCCGTTTAGCAGGAAACCGTTTGAGGCCTTTGGCTGGGAACCCCCACTCAGAAAGTCTCCCTTTCACCTGGTGCACCCATGGGGCTTCCAGGGACTCGCATTGCAGGCTGGGAGTCAGTTCATGTTGCAACACGTCACCCTCCAAGTTGCTTGAAGGCCTTAGACTGTGGTGCAGCCAGCTGCTGCTGAGAGCATGTGGGTCATAGTGGGTCCCCTCTAGCTTTATCATAGGCTCATACTTTCTCCCCTCCTACTCCCATCCCCACAGGTGAGAAGCCTCACAAGTGCCAGGTGTGCGGCAAGGCATTCAGCCAGAGCTCCAACCTCATCACCCACAGCCGCAAACACACAGGCTTCAAGCCCTTTGGCTGTGACCTTTGTGGGAAGGGTTTCCAGAGGAAGGTGGACCTCCGAAGGCACCGGGAGACGCAGCACGGGCTCAAATGAGCACCCTGGCTGGCTGCAAGCAGCAGCTACACAACACTACGGAGGGCAACCTCCCTGCTTGCCACCATTCTGCTCCCTGCTTGCCACCACTCCCTTCTGACTTTCCAGACCCCAGGTCCAGTCTGCAGATCCCACCAGGGTGCTCCTCCTTTGCCTTACCTCCTGGAGCTGCCAGAGGAGATGAGGTACCTTTCCAAAGTGCAGCCAAAAGTGAGAACCAAGGGACTGTCTAGGCTTCAGACACAAATAGGCTCCTCTACACCTGAAGACAAAGGCAAGGTCAAATGGGGACCAGAATAAATCTTAGACCCCACAGTCCCTCCCATTTCCAGCCCTAATCTGCAGACAGGAATGCCCTTCAGGTTTCTTCCCTCTCCCTCTTGACCTACCCCAGATATTTGTGTGGAAGAGGAGGAATCACCATTTACAAGGTGGACAAATGCTAATATTTTTATCTAGAAAGAAGAGTGAGTGTTAACTTTTTTTTTTTTTTTTCTTCTGGGGAGTCTGTTGACTCCTTTCTTCTGGGTGCTGCCTATAAATCTTGGAGGAATCATTTCTCCTCCTCAAAAACTGATTCAGAAACTGACTTGGGGAAGGAATTTAATACTTTGAAGTCATGAGATGCACCATCAAGGCTACCCCCAAGAAGGGGCAGAAGAGAAGTTGATGGGAGGGGATTAGAGGTCCTCCCTTCAGGAGGCCTGTGAAAGCCTCATCAGTGGAGATAAAAGCACGAGCAATGCCTGTGGACAAGATGTCATTCATTCACTCAGCAAATGTTCATGGATCACCGGCTACCAAAGTACCAGGCACCATGCTAGGTGTTGGGGAAGAGAGACGGAAGTCACAACCCCTGACTGCTCCTTAAAAGCTAATGGTTGCACCTCCAAGTGACTGGGTCTTGGAGGGAATTCTGAGAAGACAACACAGAATTATAAACCTTCCCTTTTGACCCTTTTGGATTTTATCAGGTGTAAAAAAGAAAAGTAGCTGAACAGTTACTTCAAAGATATGTGTGTATATTCAGTTTTTTATTGTTAAGCTGATATTTTAAAGATGTCTGAGCTAGCAGGCATGTGGGAATGAAGGCTCTGTCTTCAACTCTTTGATCCTCCATGTGTACCATAGAGGGGGGAAAAAGTGGTATTTTCACTTTGATGAGGTTGGTAAATGTTTTTAGATCTTCTGGTATGCATTATGTTTGTTAATACATATTTATTAGAGTGATGTTTTAAGTTAATAAAGTATTAAGACTATTACAGATTGCCTTTCCTTTAGGCAGGGAATTTGGGGAAGACCTTTGTTTTAGTCTGTGGGGGGAAACTGGCACTAAAGGAAACTACAGTGGAGCATAAAAGTGAAGCAGATAAGCTAATATCCAGAAGAGTAAAATCCAATTGCTCTGGTTTCCATATACTTTCTCCTTTGCTCCTATACCTCAGAGATACTTCTTTCATAAGAGAAAAACTAGGAGGCGTACAAAACTAAGCTCCTACCATGTAGAGCCCCTGATGGTTCCACAGGCACATAAGTAAGCTCTTTCCTCTGAAAATGTCAACATATTTTTTTATGGGCCTGAAGACTCCCAGATGAATAAAGAAATCACAGGTTTTAGGTCTAGGTTTTAGTTTTAGTCACAGCTCTGTCACCAACACATCATGTGACTTGGATAAATCTTTTGACTTCCCCAATACTGGTTTCCTTGATCAAGTAATACGGAGACAGCTCTGTCATTCCAGTCCGACCCTGACTGCTCTGATTCTGTGGAGACTGGAAAGGAGAAAAAGTATGAGATTGTTTAGCTGCCTCCCCTAATGCAAGTCACATATCTAAAGGCACATGAGGATCTGGGTTATTTCTGGTTCTGTCCCACCTGTGGGAGCTTTTTGCATAAGTCAATCCTTTAAGAGAATGAAACCAGAATAAAGTCCTGGCCAAAATCCCTACTACTAGTGCTTTAACACCTCCCAGCCAGACATTCAGGGTATGCGTGCCCCATGCTGAGTACCAGCAGATTGCCCATTTCCAACTCCAATTGATTTCACACATATGATTGAGCTCCCAGTATGTGCTGGGCACTCTTCTTGTGGGTGGAGGTATAGCAGTGAGGACAATGTCTTACGAAGCTTTATGTATTCCTTGTTGAATCCTCAGTTCCCAGAATAGTGCCTGGCACACAGTAGGAGATTAATACATATTTACTGAGTTGGTAAGTGAATAAACAGAAAATAAACTCCTTCATCCCAGGGGCTGGCTCTGCTCTCTACAGCACAAAGAGAAGAGTGATTGCTTGAGAGCCTGAGAAACAAATAGAATCCACAGGACTTTCTCTCCAGGTTGGCGGGGAAGGGGGGCTTGAATGCTGCTTTTCTCCAGTTTCTCCAAATCTCAGTCCTTGGCTGTCCTCACCTGATTTCCAGCACCATGTCTTTCCATGTTAGTTTACTCTCATTCAGAATTTAAATTTGTTTGCTCTGTAATGGAGTTTAAGATAGTTTTTCAGAACTGATGGATGATGAACAGTTGCAGCGTCCAGGAACCACTTCCTAGTGTCCTGGGGGACAAACCTCCCAGTGAATAAAGATGAAAAAAACATCCTTTCCACAGAAGTCACCCTGCGTACTGGTTGGTTATTTCCAACCTGGTTTGAAAAGTGTAGAAGTTGCACTGAGGGGTAAGTAGAACTGATTGAAATCTAGGTGTCTATGCTGTCCTGCTCTTCCCTTATGACATTTAGAACATTTGAACCATTTTCGTTATCCCTGTTTATGCTCTAAGTGAGGAATTGTAATTTTGATGGTAAGTGTATGCCTTTTTTTTTTTTCTGGTAAAAAATGTATCTTGATATCCCCAGTTCAGAATCAAAACAAATTACTGTGCCTGTTACCGTGTGAAATTTGAAGATTGCAAATATCTCTCTTAATGTTATTACTTGACTCCATTAAAAATAGATTGTGAATATTCCATGTCACATTATTCATGAGGCAGGCTCTATGCCTTTTGTCTGCTGGAGTAACAGTAGAAAGGGTAACAAGAGACACAAGAGCACACCTTTGTTTCTTTCACTAAATTTTTAATAACACCTCCAGCTAGCCAGTTGGTGAAGCTCAGCTCTTGCATAAAAGTGGAAAAGCACAGCTATCTCTGAGAAGACCAACTCTTTCAGCAGCTAATTTGAGTTTGCGTTCATCTACACCAGACATGATTAAATTACCTATCAAGTGTGCTGAGCTATCAGGATTCAGGCCACGTAAAAGGTGAATTTCATCTGATTGATTTGAGACACGGATGGAACAATTGAGTTTTAAAAGCCCGCCTTAATTAAAGGGATAGCAGAGTATCACTCCCCGGCGACTTCTTGACTGTCATTGCCCTTGAAAACTGGGTGGTGATAGTGATTTGACCCAAGTCACTTTGCTGTGTGCCTGTTTGTTCAACCTGATCATTTAACAGAAAGAAATGAACTCAGAGGAAAACCTGGAAGGACTTCGCTACTTTTTACTGTGCATTTCTAGAGTACACTGTTTGTTTAAATCTGTGCTGCCATATTATTTCTACAGAAAAAACTTTTTAGGAAGTATATAATACATTTATTTTAACCTCTTTTCCCATTCATTAAGTCAGATTTTAAAAATTAAAAAGTTTAAAGAAATTGCACCCTAAATCCTTCTAGCTTAAAAGCTTATGTTCTTTTTGTATGTGTTCCTTTCTAGTTTGTTCCTTTCTAGTCTTTAGGCACATGTGCGTATATTTATATTTTATAATTTTTGTCTAGATAGCTCTTTATTATATGGACACATACTTAAAATAGATATTTCACAATGAGAATTTGGACAATATTATGACCAAATTTTATTGAAATCTTAGTATTTTATTGGGAATCTTATCAATCATTGAGAAAAAGTCTTTTCTGAAGTTTAATGTTATTCACTTTTTGAATAAAACATTTTAGGCACACTGGAAATTGCAGAGAATAATAAACATCAGTGTACCCACTGTTCTGCCATATTTACTTCAGATTTTATTTTTGAAATAACATGTTACAGGCATAGTTGAATTTCTTCTGGGATATGTTCCTCTCTAGCCCCATTTCTTTCCTCCTCAGAGGCATCCATTATACCAAAATCAGTATATATAATTTCCATGAATATTTGTATGCCTTTAATTTATGCATAATTCCATAAGTAATATATAATTATATAAGCATATAATATAATTGTATTCATATGTATATATAAACATATAATTATGTAAATATATAATTTAGCATATTTTAACTTCATGTAAATGGATTACAGTTTATACTTCTGCACTTTTCTGGTTTTTTTGCTTAACACGTTGTTTTTGAGATTTATCCATGTTGATATATGCAGTTTACTTCCTTTATTTTAACCACTGCATATGGAATTCCATGGGATGAATACTTGGTAATTTATTCTCCTGTTGGGAGAGTTTGGGTCATATCCAGTTTTTCCTATTACAAATGATTCTGAAGCAAACAACCTTTTGCGTATCTCTTTTGTGAGGGATTCTTTAGGATGTATTCCTGGGAATGAAAATGCTGGATATTACCAAACTGCTCTTCCAAATGGTTGTTCCAATTTACAGTCTCCCCAACAATGTAGGAGAATTCCTGTTACTCCAAATCTTACCAACACTTGGTATTGTCAAACTTTAAACATGTCTGCCAATCAGATGGATGTGAATGTCATTGTAATTTGCATTTCCTGATTCCTAGTGAGATTGAGTATTTTTTTATAAGTTGATGGGCCTGACAGATTTCCTTTCCTATGAAATGCCTCTTCATGAACTTTGTCCATTTTTCTGTTGTTTGTTTGCTTTTTATCAATTTGTTCTTTAAATATATTCTAAACATTCACTGTTATATTAGTTAAATGTGTTGCATACTTATCCCAGTCTATGGTTTGCCTTTTCACTTTGAAGACAGGATTTGTTTGCTTGTTTTGTTTTTGTGTGTAATCAAATGTATTAGTCTTTTCCTCAATGGTTTATGCTTCTTACGTATCAGTTAAGAACTCTTTCCCTAGCTGGTGGTCATTAGATTCCCTATATTTTCTTCTAAAAGTGTTTAAATTTATGCTTGTAACATTAGATTTTCTTTTCTTTTCTTTTCTTTTCTTTTTTTTTTTTTTAAGATAGAGCCTTGCTCTGTCGCCCAGGCTGGAGTGTAGTGGCACAATCTTGGCTTACTGCAACCTCCACCTCCCAGGTTCAAGCAATTCTCCTGCTTCAGCCTCCCAAGTAGCTGAGACTACAGGCATGTGCCACCACACCTGGCTAATTTTTTATTTTTAGTAGAGACAGGGTTTCAACATGTTGGCCAGGCTGGTCTCAAACTCCTGACCTCAGGTAATCCACCCACCTCGGCCCCACAAAGTACTGGGATTACAGGCGTGAAACATTAGCTTTTTAATCCACTTGTATGTGTATAGTATAAAGTAGGACCTAATTTTAAAAATTTTCTTCACCATTAGTAATGGATAATCAATTATACCAACATTATGTATTGCTATTTTCATCCTTTTCCCTCTGATTGTAATGCCACCTCTGTCATATGTCAAGTTTCTATTTCTGTATGGTTCTATTTCCAGGCTTGCTGATCTGTTCCACTGGTCATTTTGTCTATCTCTGTGCCAAAGCGATAGTGTCTTAAATAATTTAAGTTATAATAAACTCTTAATAGCTAGTAGGGAAGGCTGCCTTGTGACCTGCTTCATCCTCTTCAGGAATATCCTGGCTACCTTTGGCCCTTCGTTCTTGCATGTGAAAAACTCTGTTGGAATTTTGGTTTGTATTACGTTTATTATTTAATTTGGAGAGAACTGAAATTATTTTGCTATTGATTCTTCCTATACATAAATATGGTATATTGATTACTTATTTAATCTTCTTTTATGTCTTTCAATAACACTTTGTCATTGTCTGCATAATTTAATTACTTTTTAAACTTATTTTCCTAGTTCTTTTTTTGAAAATTGAATTTTGTAATTGCTGATGTATGGGAGCAAAATTAATTTTTCTATATGTTGATCTTATATCCTACAACTTTGCTGAACCCTCTTTTTTGGTTTTTGCAGATTATTTTAGATTTTCAGAGTAAGATAGCCCTAAGATATTCAAGTGGCAATAGCTTTATTTCATTCTTTCCATCTTATTCTTGCCTCACTGCACTGGCCACGGCTATATTGAATAGGGGCTGAATAACAGGCATCTTTGTCTTATTCCCTTATTCTAGG